AAAAAAAAAAAAAAAAAAGAAAGAAAGAAATGGGCAAAAGAGCTGAATAGACATTTCTCTTGTACAGAAGACATACAAATGGGAGGCAGGTATACTAAAGAGTGCTAAACATCACTGATCATCAGGGAAATGCAAATCAAAACTACAATGAGATATCACATCAACCCAGTTAAAAGGGCTTTTCTCCAAAAGACAAGCTATAACAAATTCTGGAGAAAAGGGAAACCTCACACTTCATTAGTGGGAATGTAAATTAGTACAACCACCATGGAGAACTTTTTGGAGATTTTTCAAAAAACTAAAAACAGAACTGCTATATGTTCCAGCAATCCCACTGCTAGTTGTATCCAAAAGAAAGGAAACCAGTAAAGTGACATCTGCACTCCCATGTTTACAGCAGCACCATTCACAATAGCCAAGGCTTGGAATCAGCCTGAGTGTCCATCAACAGATGAATGGATAAACACATACACAATAAAGTACTATCCAGCCTTAAAAAAGAATGAGATCCTATCATTTGCAACAACATGGATGGAAATGGAGGTCGTTATGTTAAGCAAAATAAACCAAGCACAGAGAAAAACCTCGCATATTCTCTTATTTGTAGGAGCTAAAAAATAAAAACAATTGAACTCATGGAGATAGAGAATAGAATGGGGCTGGGTACAGTGGCTCACGCCTGTAATCCCAGCACTTTGGAAGTGCCCAGCACAAGGCAGGCAGATCACCTTAGGTCAGGTTATTTTTTTTTTTTTTTCCTGTTTTTTTTTTTTTTTTTTTTTTTTCCCCCCCCAGACAGAGTCTCAATACCAGGAAAAGAAAAAACCCTTGCCATATTAAGTATACGTTAAAGACTTCCACCGCCTCCATGAAGGTAGAGTCCACATGTATCTTGTTCAATGGCTTTCAACAAACCTTACTGCATATCAGAATCCCCTGGAGGGGCTGCTCTGTCTATGGAGTAGCCATTCTTTTACTCCTTTACTTTCCTAATAACTTGCTGTCACTTTACAGAATTGCCCTGAATTCTTTCTTACATGAGATCCAAGAACCCTCTCTTGGAGTCTGGATTGAGACCCTTTTCCAGTAACAACTTTCTGGTGACCACTGAAGGCACTATAGTGTGGAAATCCCTGACCCAAAGGCTAAGTTTAGGTAAGTGATGGGGTCTGGTAACGTCTTTCTAGTGAACCACGGAAGGGATGATACTGAAGGAACCCCCTGTCACAAAGGAAATAGACTGCAGCACTGATTGGCTGACTTGGGAGCCAAGAAAACTTTTCTTTTGAGCTATTTCCAGCTTTCAACAATTGAGTAGGTGGGCACAATGGTTCATGACTGTAATCCCAGCACTTTGGGAGGCCAAGGCAGGCAGATCACCTGAGATCAGGAGTTCAAGATCAGCCTGGCCAACATGGTGAAACCCAGTTTCTACAAAAAATACAAAAATTAGCGGGGTGTAGTGACAGGTGCCCAACTACTCCAGAGGCTGAGGCTGGGGAACTGCTTGAATCCAGGAGGCAAAGGTTGTAGTGAGCCATGATCACACCACCACACTCCAACCTGAGTGATTAGAGGAAACCTTTCTCAAAAAAATAAAAAACTG